TGTGGGGGGGGGGGGGGGGGGGGGAATCAACAGACCATCTTAAAAAGCATAAAGAGACCCAACAAATAACCCCTTAATATGTAACTGGTGGTGGTACAATCTCAACATCTTTTAGAGTGAGTGGAGAATGAAGAACAATTCCACACTTTTCTCTCAACAACTCTGTGATTTCTTCATCTGAAAGATCTCTTGTGGTTTGTGTAGCTTGTTGTCCATCCACTGAGGACAGACTGGTTATAATCAGTCTGCGGCCCATGATTGTGATTCTTCCAGTGGGCAGTAAGAGTGAACAGAGAGACTTGCAGAAGAAAATCGAGCTAGCAGAACTCTGATGGTAATCACACATGGCTCTGAACTCATCTCGTTCACGTGGCTCCAGGGTGAATTTGTACTGTTCCGTCCAACATTCTTCTCCAACCCCTGATACTTCAGTCTCAGATTTCACTTCCATGAAAATGAAGTTTCCCTGAGATCTGAGGCGATACGCTCCGTGGCTCTGAACTTGAGGACTGTCTGTCTCAAGAGAGAGAGGGAGCTGGAATCCGGACCCGAACCCTACATCACAGAGCCACCTGTGTCCCTCCAGCTTCAGCATCATGATGAAGTGGTCGAACGGAGGCCCGTAAGCACCGGTGAACCGATTCCTGACCTGTGCGGAGAGAATAGTCACGTCGAAGCCCATCTGAGACAGAAGCCATGAGAAGAGCCCATTATTCTCATAGCAGAATCCTCCGCGGCGCAGGACGACGATTTTTTCATATAAAAGTGGCAACTCCAGCCTGACCCGTTCTCCGATGTGAATAGTGAGATTCTCAAAGGGAACTGTCATTAAGTGATTCAGGTGAACGCATCGCAATGTCTCCAGCGTTGGAGGACATGGTCCCGAACAGCCGATACGTGCCAAATACTTTTGAACATCCATTGTTTTACAAAGACCGCAGGTATGTAGTTAGGCTGAGAAAATTGTAACCCACAGTTGAACACATCTACTGGGAGCGAACAGCGTGCACCTTTAGACGACCTTTAAGCAAGTTTTCACTTTGCATAGGCTGTAAACGCGGACTGTACTTTCTCGGAAGTCCGAGTCTTGTGCTGCTCATGAAAGCTTATAAGGACATTAAAACTTCTCATCAACCCTTCTTTAACGGTTTGCTATGTTTCTAGAAGACGATTAAAAGTATATTGCAAATATACGAAACTAAAAAAGCTGGTTTAAAGCAAATTTAGACGTAAACGGAAGAGGTCTGTTTAAGTGTTGCCAGATACCACAAGAGAAAGCAACTCAAACAACCAAAATAAGCGATTGTTTTAGAAATAACATTAATGAATCGAGGTTAAACCTTTGAAAATAATATCTTTTCAACAGTTAGTTTTGTTTCACAAAATGTTCACATTTAATTAACGTTAACATTCATATTTTTTCATAGTCTACACCTCTCATACTTACGACTTGCTAGGCCAAAGCATCAAATTAGCGCATCATTGGATGAGGAGCCAAGCAATTGCAAACCCACATACCATTTTTTAAAAATATATAAATAATGCACCGAACCGTCCCGTTTTGATTTTTAAGGGGGGGAGGAAACACACAAGCGACTTAAAATCAATGGACATGGCAACACATGCTCTAGTTAACGCCCTCTTTGCTGGCATTGGCCAATCAGATCTCGGAGCTCTTTTTGGTTTCTAGGAGATGCTTACAAACAACACGTTGCTATGAATAACACAGACATTCAAGTCGCTGCTGTTTTATAAGATGACAAAATAATATTATAGTATATATATATAAAGTGCTAGCCTATGTATAAACGTACACTATACGTTTATAATACGCTATTTATGAAGAAGGATTTAACTACAACATTGTATTTACAATTACCATAAAACGGTAGGTTATTTTGTTTAAATGAATTGCTATTTAGTTAATCTAGAACGTCAGCCTATGGTGTAACGTTAGCCAATTAAAGTAACACAATTGAATAAAGTAACACTTTTTCCTTATTGCATGTGTTGAATGATATTCTGACTGCTGGCTATTGTCATTATCTTAAAATACAAACAAAGTGATGCCTCCTCCTGAGACAATGTACTGCGCCCAGCAGATCAACATTCCTCCAGAACTGCCTGATGTTTTAAAGCAGTTCACAAAAGCTGCAATCAAGACACAGCCACGTGATGTGCTGCAATGGGCAACTGAGTAAGTTTTGCTTTATTAAACAAGTGTACTATGATAATGCATCAGATTGGCATTATATCATGTATGCGTTATAAAACAATGGAAATATAATATAGTATGACAAATGACAACAGTAAAACTGCTTCTCTTCCAGCTATTTTTCAGCATTATCAAAAGGTCAGAACCAACCAGTCAAAGAGAGGCTGGAAATGCCAGTGGCAACTCAGAAAACAGACACAGGACTTACACCAGGCCTTCTAAAGATCCTTCATAAACAGGTGTGATCCAGTGCATTTCTTTTGTATGTTTTATACACAGCACAGCAGATATATTTACGAATATTGATGAAATTTCTCTCGCCTGTAGTTTGCACCTAAAGAAATCATTACAAAAGAGGAGCTTCTTCAAAAGTGGAAAGACTTGTGTTTGCCTATTGAACAGCTTGACACAATCCTTGCTCTTGGCAACTTCAGTGAAAATATTAATTGGATGCAGTTTTCTGCTTTAGGATGCAGTGCTTTGGGTGGGGTGAGTGGCTATAAATATGTAACTGTGTACTTAACGATACATTAAAGGAACGGTTCATCCAAATTTGTTGGGAATTTAGTCATCCAAGATGTCGAAGAGTTTGTTTCTTCATCGGATGAAATCTAGAGAAATTTAGCGTTACTTCACATGCTCAGCAATTGATCCACTACAGTGAATGGGTGCCGTCAGAATGAGAGTTCAAACAGCTGATAAAAGCATTACAATAATCCACAAGTAAATAGTCTTTGACTTAAAACATAATTTCTGGACAAAATACGAGCCCATAATCCATAATTATGGAGTCATGGAATCAACGGTTTGAAATGTTAAAATGAGGGATTTGTATATTTCAAACATGCAGCTTTTCATCTCATAAGACATTAAATGATGGACTTGAGCCGTGTGGATTACTTATGTTTTTATCATTCTGACGGCACCCATTCACTGCAGAGGATCCATTATGCAAGTGATGTAATTCTAAATTGATCCAAATCTGTTCTGATGAAAAAACAAACTCATCAACATCTTGGATGGCCTGAAGGTGAGTAAATGTTCAGATTTTCAGTAGATTTTGTAATTCATTTTTGGGTGAACTGTTTCTTTTCATGATATCGTATGCTACGGGCTTTATTTGAGATGCTGTAAATGTAATTCTACTAACGGGCTCTAGATGGCAGTGTTGGATTTTAAATGGTTTCAAATTTCAAGGAGTTGAACAAGAACTAAATATTTACAAAAAACGATACAGACGATGTTCAATTCATTCAAAGTTTGCTAAACAATGCCAAAAAGGTGTGTTTTTGAAAGAGTGTCTAATGTACTGTTCCCACAGACCATCATAAGTGCTTTGAAACATGCTTGTGAAATACTCACAGAGGACCCTGAGGGTGGTGCAGCCCAGATTCCTTTCGACACATTTCAGAGTCTCTACACATACTTGGCCCATCTGGATGGAGAAATTCCTAAAGAACAGATCGACAGCTTCTTGCATAGTTTAGAGGAGTATGCATGAGTACACACACACACACACACACACACGCACACACACGTTTGTTTCTGTGAATTGTGGGGGCTTTCCATAGACTTCTATTACTTTTATACTGACCAAACGATATTTTCTATCCCCTACCCCTTACAGAAAACCTGTTTGCATTGTTACACTTTCAGATAAACATCATTTACTATTTGTAATAATTTTAACCGCAGGCTGGTCCCCACAATGTAGCATAAACAAGTACACGTACACACACACACAAATGGATTCAGTGAAAACAAGAAGCAAAAACAAAAGTAAAGTGGTATGATCAAAGCTGTCCATTTGCAGGAGCAAAATATGTCATTCTGACAGTAGGTAGTTTGAGACAAAATGGCAATAAGAGGCTTTATTGAATGAATTAGACACATTTTTAGAGGGTGACAGTTTCTTTTCTGTTTTACTTTTGTTGCCAAAGAGGTCTTTTAGGAGGACAAGTGATAAGGAAGAAAATTAATTGCTTTGACATTTGTTGCTTGCGGCACCTTCAAGTCTTTTTTGTTAGAATTTACACCTGTGAAATTACAAAGCCTTCTGTTGTTTCTTTCTTAAAACCGAAAAAAACTGTTCTATATTCAAAACTATGATTGAAATGATTGAAAAGGTACATAATACATACGTCTTGAAACATCACATAATGCAATAAGCTTATGTAGTTTTCCAATTGCCTAATACAAGATCTGAACCACTATTGTCTTTACTTTTAAGACAAGTCAGTCTACAAATGCAGAAACAATACCAGAAATTATCATTGCATTTGTAAGAATTTTTGTCCTGTGGGTGGTTTTATTACATTTTGATAGGTTTTTGTTGTCATACATTATCAGCATACCAACAGCAATTGTTTTTATCAGTTGCATTCAAAACATATGATTTCATCCCCTGTGTTTAAGACATTTTTAACTCAATTCAAAAGCCCAGCACCCTATTTTACTATTAAGACTTAATAATATGGAATTTATGAACAAACGTTGCATGAATCATATTATCATGACCAGCAATTAATCTTCACAATTATACAGGTCAAAAGCCTATGTACAGTATTGTTATATATTTGGCTGTCCCAGATTATTCAAATGGTATTTCTGCTGTATGACTTCATGACATGTTATAAATCAACCTCTTTGTAACTATTAACATTTTTAAGTACAAATATTCTTTTAGTCTATTTAATTGCCATTCAGACAATACATCAGAAGGTGCTTTGTACCAGTTCTGCTTGGAAGGATAGTCAATGTTTCTTCATAGGTTGTCAGCACTTCTAAAGGCTAAAATGAAGAAGACCAATTGACACTTTTGTAATTTAAGTTTTTTAAATTATGAACTAAAAATGGACATTCACCTCAATTTAGGTCCCCACCATGACACAAGTCCCCATGAGTCAGTGTTTATTAATGTTTAAGGACTTAAACAGGGATATATAAACCTGTACACACACACACACACACACACACACACACACACAAACAACGTCTGTTTTTTGTCCATACAATGAGTGTCAACAGATGCTTTAATTGTATTGATATAAACAGTTGATGCATTTTTCAAAATATCATCTTTTGTGTTCCACAGAAGAAAGAAAGTCATACAGGTTTGTAATGACATGAAAGTGAGTAACTGATAACAGAATTGTCATTTTTGGGTGCACTGTTCCCTTTAAGTCTTAAAAAACTGATGTCTTTGTAACAACAGGAAAACGGACAAGTCTTTTTCTGCTGCTTTGCATGCGTACACTAAACCAACCCAACCTCACAACAGCGTGCCCTTTTTAACTCCCCAACAAACATAGAAGCAAAGTAAATGTTTGCTTTGTGTACATGAAGAAGCTCAGATCTTCAATGTGATAAAACAATTAGAAACTAAACTCCAATTCAAATGAATTCTTGTAAGCTGATTATTGACACATTTACGGGTCTTGATTACAATCTCATACACGCTTTAATGTCTATTAGTTCTCCTAGAAACAGGATCTCTTGACACAAAAGCAGTCCGTTCCTGTGAATACACAATGTTTGGGAAGCATGTTAGTGAGTCAATATTACCGACACAGAAGCAAGAATAATGAAATGTCACCAGCATGTGTTTTAGACTAATGATGACAAGCCTAAAGCAAATGAAAGAAAAAGAGAATTGAAAAGAGGATGTTAATAAACAATTAATAAGCAAAAACATCTCCGGTCATGATAAAAAAAACATTACACATGACATTTGTAGACGTCTAATTGGAAACTTTGTTTTTCTTGCTTTCAGAGAATGCCAAGTAGGAATGGTGCAACCTTCAAATTTTACAAGCCTCCACAGTGCTGAGAAGTCTGAGTAAAATCCAGTACAAATGGTCCTCAGGTGGTGATATCTCAACATGCTTGAAAACTATTGATCCTTGTTACTGTGTCTTGTGTTTGCCCTCTTTATCCTTATATTGTGATGTGATTTGATTATTTAACCCAAATAAATCCTTGAATCTCAAATCTAGGTTGCCTGGAATAATGTTGCGAAAGTGAAAGACAAAACAAGGCTTATGG